TCCGTAAGGCGCATCTCTGGAGAGGTATGATGAACCCAGATTGGGAAAAACACCGGCACCACCACCATCTGCCAAGCTGTATGGAGTCCACCTCCCCCCATTGTCTATGCTGATATGTGCCGCCAACTTCGCAGACATTCCACGGCCTTGCACATCTGCATCGAATAAAGCTCCAGAAATGGCCACCAGCACCTCACCCACGGCCACAAGATGAGAACCGCGGAACATGTGGTCGGTGGATGGTATTGAAAAGTTTGAATACAGCAAAACCGGCGGCGGCGAGTGCTGGACTCCGAAGGGGTAACTTGCCTCCAATCCCGCGTGATAGGAGTATGCAGCTTCACCGCAGCCGCAGCATATCAGCACAACAAAGAGAAGCAGCAGCGCCGCAGAGGAAAACCGATGCCGCGACATTTTGAGCGTTCGCTGACCACTTTCTGTCTCTCTTCCCTCCGTGTGCTGGATCCGCTCAGGCCGCGACGGTTGTGTGGGTGTGGTTGAACTTGACAGCAGCAACACTCGAGCGTATATATTATATATGCGTGTGGTCGGTGTGTGTGTGTGTTGCTGGTGGTGACTGCAGAGCCTTTCAATGTGCACAGCAGGCAAGTATCGCTTAGTCTCTTTCTTTGTGTGTAGACAAAAGAGAAGCGAAGAGTAAAAAATAAAAAAAACAAGGCAACAAAAGGTTGGCGCTGCCCGCGCCCACATCATCGTCATTTACTCCGCAGTACTCCCCGCTGCAGCTCACGCACATCTAAATACACACAGGCACGCAGAGAGGAGAGCAAGTGGCCGAGTGCACAACGACTGCCGCCAGAGCAGAAGCCATAGCGACTTCGGCCCCCCACGCGGCTACACACTCCAAGCGACTGCCGCACCAATCCGTGAAGATCAGCCGTTTTGCGCAGTCCAACGTCTTCTTTTTTCTTCTTGGTTTCGGCCGGTATCCGTGGCGAACCGCGCGCTGGTGGGTAAATCCGTCTTTGTCGCGGCGCTGAAACTCGCACTTTGGGCATCAAAAAAACGGCACTATGCGATCCTACGGAGCGACCGTCGTTCTTGGACAACCTGCGTTTTCTCAGTGGCCGCACCACGCTGCCTTCATGGAAACGCCAGTAGTAAAACTTCAGCGAGTCGATGTGCGCTACACAGTTTCAACGTACCGTGCGCTGTTCCCCGTCATCCGGCTTCGCTGTTTCACCGAGAGGGGTCCGCTCTTTGGGGCGGTGGCTCTCCTGGGGCTGTTTCGCCCCCTCTCTTGGCTCAAGTTTGGCAACGCACGGGTGCTTTGGCCCTGTTTTTGGCGTTGCCTCCACATTCCCGCCGTCATGCTTGCATCGGATAAAGCAGGGCAAAACCCCCGCAACCGCCTGCCATTGCATCCCAACAGTGGCACCAAAGAAGCGCCCTGGCCTGCGGCTCGGGATTTGCTGCTTCTTTTCGGCGATGCTGTGCTCGGATACTGAAGAGAAGCAATGTTTTCACCAACGTCCTACACCCACAGTACCCACATTCAAACAGGAAGTTTTCTGCCATTTCTGCAGATCCCCAGGTTTTTTATTTGACTGCGGCGAAGCCCTGCATACAAAAGAAACAAAAAGCACCTACAAAATCATTCTGGTATTCGCACGGTGCTAAACAAGAAGCTGCATGAGAAGCGGCTTTGGTTGGAAAGGCGCAGTCGCCGGTCGGCGTGCGGTCTCTGGCCCGGTGCCTCGTCTAACTGGGGGGCGTTCCAGAAAAATTGCGGGCGGCCCCGGCTCACCAAACAGGTTGGCTATCCGCGGCGCCTCGCCACATCGAAGGCCGCGCCACCTAACCGCCACGGCAGCCGCAGCGGGAAAACCGAGGTAAAGGGTGATTTGTCTTTAGGAGAAGCTTCTCGCGCATTGGGGCGGGGCATTCAGACCACGCCGGCGGCGTGCCTACGGGACGGCGTGCCTAAATAGCGCCGCAGCCACCATCAGTATCCGGGCAAAACCCCCACTCGGAATTGGGTCAGCGCGGCTACTTCCCCTCATGCGAGGGGGGGGGGGGGGGTGCATGCGTGTGGGCCTCCAGCCGCCCATTGTGGTGTGCCGGTACGCGGCCGGCATGGGTCGCCGTGCCAGAGCGAAGCGGCGGCCAATGACAAACTGCATTCTTTTATTCGTTGCTCGTCAAGACGGCCAAACGAGTTTCTGTCAGTGCCCGAACCAATGAATATACCCAGAGGGTCCGCAGAACAGGTGTCCTTCTAAAAAAAGAGCGGGCGCACTCAGGGCGCAGAGACGCCCCGATCGCTTAACAGCACCGCCAGAAAACATACCTACGTCCACTCCATAAAAATATCATCAAAATAAAAATAACAACTGTCTCACGTCACCTTGGCCAAAGGAATGGCGAGGACGGAGCCAAAGCGCGACGCTTGGGGTTTGGAGGAACAACGGTGGAGCGCGCTTGGCTCAGCACCCCTTGAGCGCGCGTCGGTAATCGTAACGAAACGGTCGTGCAGCTTCGTCGGCCAGTCTGCAGGCAAACCGATTCCCCCCCCCCCCCAATTCGCCACTCCCAATTTGACGAAGCCGTTTGCCCACACGTTGTGCTGCCTTCTCGGAGCGTGTGGAGGCGGTCGCTTCCTGCAAAATACGGTTAAAAGATCCAGCAAGCGCAAGTTTGGAAGTTTGGTCTTCTTGCGGTCCTCTGCGCCACCGTCGCCCAGTGAGGCATAAAGAGGCCACGCGGCGTGGGCTGCAGGGAGACGCAGGGAACAGCGCCAAGACGGTGGCCGCTGAGCTCTCCTGCGGGTGCCGGGGGGTGAGGGCACTAGACCGTGGACCACCACCACTCTTTCAGTGACGGGATGCAGCTTCGCCTCCAACAGAGCATCTTCCGGCAGACTGCTTATCGGAATTCCCGCAGTAGGCGTGCACGCTTTGTGTTGCACCTAGTGGAGTACAGGGTGAGACGCCGGAGAGGCGCCCCAATGCCACACCCCGATGCCGTGTACACGGCCCTCGCCCGGGGCAGGGCAAGGCATAACCCGCGCAGGGTCTCCCTCTTCCGCCCTCAAAAACAACGAAATCGCTGCCAAGCGGAGCAGGCGTTGGCTCGCTGCCCCGATGTGGGCAAACGGTGTGGGCACCGCTCATGCTCCGGCTGCTCTGTAACGTGGCCCCCCAAAAGGGCGGGAAAGCGTTCCGTAGTGACCGGGGCACCTCCTGTACCAACGAGGGAGCGCTTCGTCAGAGCCAACGTTGACCTCCACGAAGTGCTTGTTGGCCCACTCTGCCGCGACATTCAGGCCTCTCCTGCGGAGCTGAGTGGAGGACACACCTATCGCTGTGGCGCGTGGTGGGGGCGCTGCCATCGGCGAAGGCGCCATGACGGACAAAAGCGCTGCAGCAAGATGAGCACTGAGTAAGCCCGCGACGTTGATGAACAGGAAGAGGCCCCAACACTGCTCCCAGCGGAACTCCTCGCGTGAACGTTGTGGGGGAGGAGGTGGTTCAGCCGACGCCAACCCCGGCATGCCTGTTACTTGGAGAATGCCGCTGGCCAGTTTACAGTGTGGTCAGTAATCGACATTCGCCGCATGTGCAGGAGGATCTTGTCGCGGTGCACTGCGCCAGCGGATTTTCCCGTGACGGGGCACGCAGGTGCTGCTCCTTCTGGGTCTGTGGGGTGCACCGATTGGCAAACTGCATTTTGTAGCAAACTCGAGGTGAAGGCAAAACCTAAGAAATATATATATATAAAAAACCGCCAACAGCCCAAACGGAGAGCACATAATAACGTGTGTTTATTATTATGAAAATAAATCCGCACGTTGTCGTATTCTCTCTCCCTCCCTCTGTTTATTGAAGGAAAGGCATAACGAAAAACCAAAAATTAAAATTAAATATACAAACTTACCCCCAGCCCAGCAGACATGCATCCATCTTTCTGGTGGCCAGAAGAGGGAATACGACTAGGCATATTAGTTAATTCATCACATTTGTAAAG